CTGGCTCAGCCCAGCACATGCTGAGAAGAGCCCGGCATGGCCCTGGCCCCAGCCCACCCCAGATCCAGGGGCACGAGCCCACCCCCCCTCCCTCCCAGGGTGTGCGTAGCATCGGGAGCCAGCCACACATGGATCAGTCCCGTGCTGTGCCTCAGCTGGGCAGCCCCTGCCTCTGCCGCAGTCCCAGCCCTACTCCCTCTCCCACAACAAACTTACCAGCTGGACCCAACTGCTTTCCATGTGGCCGGGCTGTGCTCTTGGCTGCCTGTGTGCTGAGCTTTGGCTGCGCGCATGCACATAGAGTTCTGTGTACCCCCAATGACCTTTTTAAGTACCCCTAGGGATATGCGTACCCCTGCTTGACAACCACTGATCTGAAGTCACCCTGCTTCACCCCTCAGTCTGAACATATAGTAGGAGGGAAAAGTAAAAAAGCTGCAAATATTTTTTTTTTCATTCAAATGCTTCTAGAATGAATGGATCAGAGAGGCATCGTAAAGTGGGTTAGGATCAGAGAGGCATCGTAAAGTGGGTTATTGCATAAAAAAGCTTATTCGTTTCTGAACCAGTTAGTCTCTAAAGTACCAGTAACCTGCCCTACCTTCTGCCTAACTTCATACTAATGTGGATAATTACCTTTAATGGCTGACATTAGAGGTATTGGCATTGTACAAGACATGGGGGAAGACACCGACCTGTACTCAAAGAACTTATAATATCAGTAGACAGACAAAACAAAACACAGATTGATATGCATGGCCAGAGAGGCTGTATTATGCAAATTAATACAAATCTGCATGTGCCAGAGTAAGAAAAAGTAAAGTGCAGTCACCAAATAAACTTATCAACATTCCTGTGGGGATACATATTAATACAGATGAGTAAACTAATGTAGCAAGACCAAGTTAAAGGACTTCCCAAGTTCCCATGGGGAGTCAGGCAGAAAACCCAGGAATACTGTTTCCCATCTCTCTTCCCCACTGCCCTGGGAGCTAAGTGGCTTTTACCTCCAGTTGCAATTTAATATAAGTTCAGATCTCAGATCCCTAGCATTTCCAAAATTGCTAGGCTTAGCAGATCTGGTCTGATTCATCATACCTCAACAGCTAAATAAATACAGTAGTTGTTTTTTCTAAATTCCCACACAAAAGAAAATTTCACCAAAAAGAGTTAAAAAAAAATCAAGTGTGTGAGCATTATTACTACATGATTTACTCATATTCCACAGTTAAGTGGCTGTAAGAAATATGAGTCAGTTTGCAATTAAAAAGCATTAAAGCACTACTGTTTCACCCAAAAAGGAAGAATCAGTAATGTCTATGGTAACAGAAGAAACAGTACCTCTTTTTTTACAGATAGTTTCTTGAGACTGGGCCACCCGTATAACTTCAGCAGCTGCATTCCTTACTATCAGCTCTTCACTCTGCAACAGGAGAACCACGCATTTCCACATGGTCAGCGTATCGGAAAGACCTGAACATTTACAGAGAGGGAAAGAATTTAGATTTTTGCTCTTCACAAGGCAAATCAGAACAGTTACAGAAATATGTACTTCCTCATCTAAACATACCAAAAATGTAATAAAATATTCAAAATGGGAAGGCTGAATGAGAATACAGTCAAAATGCCATCTGCTGCAAAATACACATTCTAGGCAGCCAAACATCTTTGTTCTCCTCCTCTTTAGTCTCCGCCTGGTAGCTTTACTCTGCAATAGGGTTCAGTGTTCAATTGCTGAGGAAGAACCACCTTCAGCATCATTGCGAGAGCTTTGCTAAGAAATGAGTACTTTGAACTTTCTGAAGTTTGCATTCTTCTTGCTAGACAGCAGTGGAAGTCCTGTTGATATGCAGGGGCCCAGTAAGTCCTTCACGTAAGTAATGATTTTTGTGTGTAGATTCCATCTACGGGTATCATTTATGGAGCAACAATTTGTGGGCTGAAACCTGAATACAGCGGATTCCTAATTTAGACCAGTGTAACCGATTTCAAAAGCAGGCCCTGTATTTGGTATAATTTTTGTACACAACAGAGTCAGCAATTGTGAAAAGTGCCAGCCTGATAGCTCCAGAAAATGTGCTGCATGCACTGTCCTGCCTCTGTGAGCTCTGGCCTGTTTGGGCTCACTCACTCTTTGGGGAGAAAGGTTAGTACTTGAGGCTAAGTACAGGCATTAAAAAGCCCCTAGTGGAAGCACTCCACCGCACTTGACTTAAAGTGCTGTAAGTTAGACCAGAACCAACCGAACAGATGTGTTGTTCAGTGGAGGAGGCTCAGTGCCTGACTGCACTGGCCAAGGCTGGCAGTTTGGGGGTGCTCTCACATGCCAGCAGCAGCTGGATGGAAAAGGGAGTGGGGGAGGGAGACCACGTGCCTTGTAGCACCCCCCCCAGATGGCCGGGACAGGTTTTGGAGGAGCTAGGCCAGGTAGAGGGGCTCCCTTCCCCCAACCCCAGTTCCCAGCAAGGTGAAAGCCCAGCTCGGCAGCCCCATGCTGCAGCTCCTGGCTGCAGCTATCAAGAGGCTGGGGCGGGGGTACAGCTCCTCTGCAATGCTGACCCAGCCCAACCCAGCAATTTGGGGGAGGACCTGCATGGCCCCCTGCAGCCTCTTGACAGCTGTAATCAGGAGCCCTAGCATGGGGATCTTGGGCCCCACTTTTCACTGTACTGGGAATTGGGAGTGGGGCAAAGGAACCTGCTGCCCTGCAGACCTGGTCCAGCCCCCCCTTCCCCACCTCCAAGACCTGACCCAGAAATCTAGGGAGGACCTTCATGGCACAGGGTCACCATTCCCCCACCTCCTGCCCAGCTGTGCAGAGAGGAGACAAAGCCGTTCTAGCTCCTTTTTATGACAGCCCAGGGGCAAGGCTGGGCCAGTGCTCACCTGAAGCAGATGAGCACTAGCCAAGGCTAGCAAGCTGCCCAGCAAGGGGCCCCTGGGATGCCTAGGGAATGTGACCTACCTTGACTCGTAATGAGGTGTGGTATAGACATTTGATAAAGCACTCTAACCTAAAGCACTGTAGTCTTATACCACATCCATCAAGGGTTAAATTAGAGCGGGGTCCACCATTTTTAAAGTACTTTATGTGCAGTGAACATCTGTTCTGTCACAGCCATAACGCACTTTCTGCACGCTTAACACACTATAAGTGTAACATCTGTACCTAGCCTGAATTTTTTATTCAACAAGGGTGGCAATTAATGCCAATTTTGTTAGTTTTGAAGGTCTATTCAGAATCATCAGAAAAGGACTGGAATCACCATCTCTTGTCACACAGGACCACTGCCAGCTTTGTTCTAATTCAATCATGGAAAGGGATAAAAAGCTCAAAAGTCCTGTACTGGTCATTTAAAAAACTCTTGATGTCCACCACTGGACAGGAATGGTAGCATCTGTCCTATTTGTAAGTTCTAGATTTTTGGTTCCAAGAGTCAAGTTTTCCAGATACTATAAGGCAGGGCCAAACACACAAAACTCATGTGGTATATTCTCCTGATACTAAAGGAATGGCATAGGCTTAGCTTAGTTAAGTGCTATGGATACCACAAAAAGACACGTATCAGATCAAATGGTTTATTGACTGATTTATGATTCTTACGACATCTCAGAAGACAAGATATGTCTATTTTGTATATTTAATAGTAAATATATTAATATCCATTCTCGCTGGCTTTCAAGAATAATTTACCTTGATGTCTAAAGAATACAAGATACAGTTGGTATTACACCAAGCTAAGTTCCCAACATTTCCAAATGTTACCACATATATGTTAAACATACAACTTACATATGTTCTTAATGGGTTGAGTAAGTTTGTTTATTGTTTATCTTAGATTTATAGAAAATTAGGGTTGGAAGAGACCTCAGGAGGTCATCTTGTCCAACCCCCTGCTCAAGGCAGGGCAATCCAGCTGCATCATCCCAGTGAAGGCGTTGCCTAGCTGGGTCTTAAAAACCACCAAGGATGGATAATTCCACAACTTCTCTGGGAAGCCTGTTCCAGTGTTTTACTACCCTTCTCGCGAGAAAGTTTTCCCTAATATCTAACCTAAACTTCCCTTGTTGCAACTTGAGACTGTTGCTCCTTGTTCTGTCATCTGCCATCAGTGAGAACAGAGTAGACCATCCTCTTTGTAACTGCTTCTCAGGTAGTTGAAGGCTGCTATTAAATCCCTTCTCAGTCTTCTCTTCTATAGATTAAATAAGCCTAGTTCCCTCAGCCTCTCCTCGTAAGTCATGTGCCCCAGCCCTCTCACCATTTTTATTGCCCTCTGCTGGACTCTCTCCAATTCGTCCACATCCTTTCTGTAGTGCGGGGGCTCAAAACTGGATACAGTACTCCAGATGTGGCCTCACCAGTGAGAGGAAGAATCAATTATCTCAATCTACTAGCAATGCCCCTACTAATACAGTCTAGTATGCCGTTACTGTTATTGGCAACAAGGGAATAGGGTTGGCTCATATTCAGCCTATCGTCCTCTGTAACCCCCAGGTTCTTTTCTGCAGAGCTGCTACCTAGCCAGTCAGCCCCCAGCCTGTACTTGGACATGGTATGGTTCCATCCTAAGTACTGGACTTTGCATTTGTCCTTACTGAACTTCATGAGACTTCTTTTGGTCCAATCCTTCAATTTGTCTAGGTATCTCTGAATCCTAGCCCTACCCTCCAGCGCAGTGGTTCTCAACCATTGGTACCTTATGTACCCCCTGCCGATTGACGCAGCAAAAGCAAAACCGGAAGTCCCACTGTGGCACTTTCGGTTTCATCACCGCAAGCTGAGTCCTACTTTTTCACTGAGGACCAAAGCAGCCAGCTCGGGGCCTCCCCCACTGTCCCCAGGCACAATGACGCAGGGGAGTGAAAGCACTGGCGCTCCGGACGTGGCGGGAGGGGCGGCAGCCAGAACTTCTGGCCTGAACAGACAAAGACACCTCCAACCCACTGGGTGGGGGGAGGCGGGCCAAACTCAAAACGTGGCACCCGCATACCCCCTACCCATGTCTCGTGTACCCTCAGGGGTACGTGTACCATGGATTGAGAAACACTGCTCCAGCATATCTACTACTCACCCCAGCTTGGTGTCATCTGCATAATTCCTGAGGGTGCACTCCATCCCATCTTCCAGATTGCTGATGAAGACATTCAACACAACCAGTCCTAGGACCAACCCCTGGGGTAATTCATTTGATACTGGCTGCCAGCTACACATTGAGTCATTGATTATTACCCTTTGAGCCCAAAAATCAAGCCAGTTTTTGATCCACCTCATAGTCCACTCAGGTTAACTCTACTACCACCACGCACCTTTCACATCATATTAAACTGCATGTTATATTATTCAGTTCAATAGCCAAAAACTAAAAGTTTCTGGTTTAACACAAAGTAAGAAGTGACATACTACAACCAGCCTGGATAACCACGTAGGTAATTAAATCTCATATTACTGGTCTAAGACTATCTTTGTACTTATAAGAATCAGAGGAATAAGACTTGTAAGAATCAGAGACTACCTTTTCCCTACCTCTTAGATATAAGTATTGACTAGGCACATTATGGAAGTTTCTTATTTAAATTTGAACCAAAACTTAAATGATAAGGATGATACAGATTGCATGACTATGCATGCATATTTTAAAAACATTATGTCCTTGCAGCCAAATTAGAAGGTGGCATAAATGGCAATATAAATTACTTCAGTGAGGAGGGGGCAAAAGAGGAGTTGTAGGCTTTGAGAAAGTGTTAAATAGAACAGGGGCAGGTAACTAGAGAGGGTAAGGCAACTATAAAATATGGTAGTCAGGACACTTATCAGGTCAAAAAAACAGGAAAGGACGCAGATATTCATCTAAAGGGCATTCACTTAAATCCAGCTCAGGCCAGCAACGAATAAAAACAATGCAAGCTGAAAAACTGCAACTACAGTTGGCATTACTGCTGGACATCTAGGCAGAAAGGCCCTGGAATGTAGTGGCATGGGAAATAGTTGCACCTGTCACCACTACGTGCCTTGGCTAATCAGTGAGAGTACTTTCAGTTACCCTGCCCTTAAACGGGCATTCATTCCTAGCGCTAAGAATTTATGTGCTGTCTGCCATAGGGGAGCCCACTGATTGACCGACTGCCCTCTACCCTTCTGAGGAAGGGCAGTAGGCAGTTGGCAAGATGGGGGAAAGGGACATGCCCCCCTGGTGGGATCCTTTGCAGACCTCCAGGAGCAGAGGCATAACAAGCAAGGGGTGGGGGCACACACAGGAGTCTTACCCACGCCTGAAACTGCAAAAAACGCCCCAGATACTGCTGCTACCACCACATGGTCTGCCCATCCCAGCTCTTGCTCTTAAAGCTGCAGCAGCAGCAGCAGCAGCAGCAGGGTGTTCATGCATCAGTTGCTACTTCTGTAAGCGCAACACCATGGGTCTGCGCAGGCACAGACTTTTCAGGGGTTGGGGACAATTCTGGTGCCTCTACTAAGCTCATCCCCAGGGCTGGTGCCCCTGCTACCCACTCCTAGTTACACTACTGTCCAGGAGGGTTCCCACCTGGGGAGAATGGTCTCCTCTGTGTACCCATCTGGATCATAGTTTCTCAACCTGTGGCATGTGTACCCCTGCGGGTACACGAGACACAGGCAGGAGATATGCAGGTACCCCAACAATGTCTCTCTTGCCCTCTTTTCCTCTCTCTCTCTTGCCCCTTCCTCCTCTCAAAACCATGGCAAAAGATTTGGTGCAATTAAAAAAATTAAATTCCCCAGTAATAATTTGGTGTGCCATGCTCTGCATGGCATTGGGAGCTTTGGCCAACATCACCACTAGTGCAGGTACATACTTGAGTGTGCATCTATGGTGTAAAAGGTGGCAACCCTACCCACACCAGATCAGACATCTGTCATATCACGGCCTTATATACACAGCCCTTCTTTCAACATACGGCATGCATTAGTCTGTAAATATGAAATCTCCTGGAAAATTGACTGTTGGGGTACTTATTAAAATCTTCAGAAGTTAGGGCGTACTTGGTACTTAAAAGGTTGGGAAACACTGCTCTGGATCAACCTGGAGAGTGCACAGGTGGGAGATGGATGCATCTAGGGCTGAAGCCATCCCAGTACTCTGGAAAAATGCCTCCCATCTCAGGCCTGTCCCCCCACCTCCTCTGTCCTGCCTCTGTTTCTGGGAGGAGCATGGAGTTGGATCTTAAAGGGCTACAGTCAAGCCAGCTTCTGCCTGCTTTAGGCTGATCACAGTCCTAATGCAGCAACAATGTACACCAGGGCAGTTTTAGCTGCAGGGCAGCTGTGACTGCATCTCAGCCCCCCTTGGGGGGGGGGGGGAAGGGGAGAGATGGAGGCTCACAGCACCCCAAGGTGCTGCGGTACCTCAGCTGAGAACCATCATATTAATAGTACAAGAAATAATACTATAAAAAAAATGCAGGCAAATTCTTAATATATATGAGTACAATTAAATCAAGCAGAGCCTTTTCCTACATTTGCAAAAACATAATTAGTAATAAATAAATATACCAATAATAAGAGTTTTTCACATAGGATAATAGGAAAGTAGGGCTGGAAGAGACCTCATGAGGTCATCTAGTCCAGTCCCATTCAAAGTAGGATCATCTCCAATGACACCATCCCAGCCAAGTATCTGTCTAACCTGTTCTTGAAAATGTCCAGGGATGGAGATTCCACAACTTCTCTAGATACCCTGTTCCAATACTTAATTCCCCTCACAGTCAGAAAATTCTTCCTGATCCTCCATCCAAATCTTCTCTACTTTAGCTCCTAATCCCATCCTGTACACCATCAGAGAAAAATCATTCTTCAAGTACTTGAAGACTGTTATCAAGTCTTCGTAGGTCTTTTCTTCTCCAGACCTAATAATCCTAGCTCTTTCAGCTTTTCCACAGAAGTCATGCTTTCCAGGCCTCTAATCATTACCAATACATGGTAATGACAGGAACTTTAAAACACATGCGTGTGAGAATTCAGCATTAAATTGAAACGTTGATAATCTTGATATCTTATTACTTGAATGCTGGAAGGTAAATGGTTTATCATGGTAACTTAGTCTTGAATAATTAATGCATACTTTTTTACAGTAGTATTATTTTCAGATGTTTGAAATACTAACATTCATTTTGCTAACAAAAAAAAGTGGATCCAGTCCAATAGCATGCTATTGAGACACTACTCAAAACAGACCATTTTAATTCTGTCATAGAAGGTAAAATGGCATTAAAAGTTAATAGCTTACTTTACAATGCAAGATAATCCTCTTCCCTCCATCCATAAATGCATTATTCTGAGGTTAGCTATTCCATATTTCACATTCACATATGAAACATTTCATAAACAGTACTTAGCAGTAAAATAAAATATAATAAAGGTAAAATAAAAAATCAGGGATGTTCATGCACTAACTTGTGGACTCAGATCTTTCTCAACTACTTTATCATGATTCTATGAATAAGACAGAAAAGGAAAGCATGACTTTGCTGGTCTTTTTATACTAATTCCTGGTTCAAGCAATATCAGTGAGAGGTTTGCTACTGCCTTCAGGTGGATCCAACAACCAATAATTTGCTTCAAAACCAATAATGTGTGGCTGAACAAGAGCATTTGTTTTCCAAACAGACATTTAATTTTTGTTTTGAACCTGTCAAATATTAGAGAAATTAATGAATTTCTTGGTGAAGTACCCAGTAGTTAATTATCCTCACTATTAAAAATCTATACCATATTTCTAGGGTTAATCATATTTCTTCCCCTATTCAGAAATAGTCAGCTATTAGATATTTTTATATTTGGGCCTGCTACACCAAGGAGTTTTCAACTAAATTGTTCTTGCTCCACATTAGTTCAATAAATTAGAATATTCAGCTGTTCCAATTACGAAGAGAATAGAGTCTATGAAACACTTTCTAATTCTTCAAAATAATACATTTTAATCCTATCAGGTGATTAATTATATATATAAAAAAGCTTCATGTATTCTTAGGTTTTTATCTATTCCGTGCTTTAAAAAGTCCTAGGAGAATATGGCACATAATTCAAGGAATTTACTCACCAAGGATGAGTTTCTCATTGGTCAGAAAGAGTGGTATAATATTTTGAAGTATTTCAGCAGCTGCCAATAGCATATCTGTCTGTTGTTCATCTCCACAAGAGCAAGCTATTAGTTGTACCCAGTGTTTCAGCTCTAATGCCAAAACCTGAAAGCACAGAATACATGGAAGAAATAAATAGTACAGTGTAGAGCTGGTGTTTAGCATCATACTTAGCTATGAACTGTTAAATTAGCTCTCACCTAAAGAAGGAAAAAGCAATCTTCCTTGCACATTGATGATGGTGAGGAAAAGGAATACAGAATACAAACCACTAACAGAACGCAAATTGGTGGGAAATGGGAATCACTCTTGTTGGATCTGTTCTTTAGCATTAAGAACACTCCATATGTAGATGTCATTGGTCTTACGTTTCTCATTGCTAACTACAGTTATTATACCAAGCCTTGTCAGCATTGCTACAGGCAGGCTTGGCCCAGCATTTCCTACAAACATCTTCATCCATGGTTCATAACTGACTTAATGGTAAAAGAAGGTTTCAGGCTTGAAATCTGAATGCAAATTACTTCCTACAAGAACAGGTAAAATCTTAAATGTTGATTTACATCTATTTTAAAATTGAGAATGAAAAATTTAAATACTTTTCAATACTTCTTTGTGGTACTTTTTTTTTTCTTTTTTCCATTAATGAGCCAGACTTCAGGCTAGAGCATAAAGTGTTAACCAGCTCTGGGAAATATTTTGGTAGATTTCCTAAAAATAGATCTCATTATAAAAATATTACATGGAACTTTTCTTGCAATGAAATAATTATGAAAACAATTTCAATAAATGTTAAAATATCCTAACAATCTTTCCCTTCATACATATACATATGCATATATAAACATATACATATAGGCCAGGTACAGTTATTACATACAAACAGGTCTAAGTTATTGGAAACTGATCTAAACTCCTAACCATCAATAGAGATGCACCAATACATCAGTCCATATCATATTGGCACCGATAAAAGGAAAATGGACATTATCAGCAATCGGCTTTTTTTGGCTGATAATGTCATTGATAAACGTTGCGTGCATGCATGCAGCCAGGGGGAGCCAGGTGGCTCCCACCGCTGTACACACCCTGGGAGAGGCACAGGGGCCTGTGCCCCCCAGGTCTGTGCGCAGGGCAAGGGCAGGCTGCTGCTGTGTGCTTGGGGCAGGGGGCAGCGCCGGGACCTTCTCGGCAGAGGGGCTTAGCCAGGGCTGCGCTCGGGGTGGGTGGGATAGTGCGGAAAGCAGGGGCTACAGTGAACTTTGGTGTGGCTGTAGCCCCTTCCCCACCATAGGCCTCCTCCTCCCAGTGCCACTGCTGCCCGCCCCGCCTGCAGCCCCACCACTGGGAAGAGCCCAGCACTGCCTCTGGTCCCAAGTGTACAGCAGCAGCCCACCCTCACCCCACCCACAGATATGGGGGTACAGGCCTCCCATGCCTCCCCCAGAGTGCGCTGCAGGTGTCACCCCTCTCTCGGCCCCCCCGAATAAGCTGCTTGTGGGTCCATGCCATGCCCCACCCTGCCCTGGGGTGGGCAGCACCTGCCCCTGCGCCAGCCCCACCTTGTCTTTCACTGCAGGGGCCTCAATCTGTACCCCTCAAGGTCTTTCCCTCCCACTGCCCCTTCCCTGCAACAGACTTACCAGCCAGACA